TATATAATAATATATATATAATATATATAATAATATATATATAATATATATAATATATTATATATATTATGTAATTATATATATAATTATATATAATACATATATATTTATATATTAAAATATATAATATATATTATATATTATATATATAATTATATATAATATATAATTACATAATATATATATAATATATATAATTACATAATATATATAATATATAATATTTTTATATTATAAAATATTATATCATTAAATTATTATATTATATTATTAAATTATTAATTTATTTTATTATTATTAAAAAAAAACAAGTTATGGGTTTGTTCAAATCTATCGAAATTTAACAAACGTATGATATTTTGCTAACCGTAAGCGTAAGCTGGAAACGGCATGCCATCGTAGGTAGGTGATTCGTAGGTAGCGATCGTGCACACTAGAATAACGATCATTAATATCGGTGTGATTACAGCCCAGCAGAGCCTCCAATAAAACGACGGTTTCCCACCGAGCATGAACTCGACGTCATTGAGGAAATTCGTCAGGCCGTAGATCCAGAATATCGTTATGATCTCGAAAACGCCGACGATGATCGCCACGAAAGTGCCACCGTAATAATCCACCAACGTTATGAGCCATTGGCCACCCTTAAAGAAAATGTAGCTCATCGTGTTGTGATAATGGTAACAATAACGTAATCATTTTACTATATTTTTATTGTAAACTCTCTGCAGGCAATCTAGGTCGTTTGTACCTCTGAGCAGAATAATTCCACTTCGCTCGAAAGAAATTCTCCAAATTTCGAATATCTCTCAAAGTTTGGAAGAGTAAAAAAAAAAAAAAAAAAGAACGACTCAGTCTTCTGTGCTTGCCCACAGAGAATGGTAAATTGTAAAGAATGGTAAAGTAAATGAAGCATGCTCACGGGAGTGACGTAGACGAGGCTAACGACGAACCCAAAGATGGAAACGACGAGTACTATCTTCCAGTGCGTCACGTTGGGAAAATGGTCGCAGAGTATAGTGAAAACGGCGCTGGAAAGGGCTACGGCGCTTCCGACGCCGAGGACGAACATCATCACGAAGAACAGGACAGCGAAAAGTTGAGGGACCACCTCGAACTGGGACAAAGCTTCGGGATAGGAGATGAAAGCGAGGCCTGTACCACCGCGAACCACCTTCGATACGTCTGTGGTACCCTTTTCGTGGGCTAGATTTCCAAGAATCCCGAAAATCGTGCACCCTGCCATTAGGCTGGTGAAAGTGTCCAAAGTCGTCACTATCATTACGTCCCTGGAATAATTGTGAGTTAATTCATTATACATGTTATATTGTATTGTAAATAGATTATATTATAAACATTATATACATTATACGTATTATACACATCAAACATATTATATACATTATACACACATATATATATTATACATTATGTTATACATAGAGTGAATTTTTATGCATAAAAATAAGAAATTTGAATAAGATGGAAAACAATTCCACTTAAATAGAATCTATATATATTGCACATTAACAATGGAATCTATTACACTAATAGATTCATTATTAATACATTAACAATGGAACCTATATACATTGTATGTTGCACAATCAAAGAAAGAAAGTGATCAGTAGAGAATTGCAACTAGAAGAAATTCAGCATATTTAGAATATCAGTTTGTTTAGTATGGATAAAAACGTGTGTGGAAGTCAGCAGTGGAAATAAAAAGACAATTACAATATCAAACTAATAGATCTTCATATTTCAAATATTCCTAGTGACAATAAAAAAATAAGAAGTAGTTTAAAACCTCGGTATAATAGTGATATATCAATTCACTTTGACTTTTAAAATTAAAAAAGAATAAAAAATGGAATTATATACATGTAAATGTATGCATAAAGTACACAAAGCTATATTATCTAGAATACTAGGTAAATATAAAATAGTAATTCTCTGTTGAATTACTTTCAATGTTTTCACTCATAAATATATCTGTTTCTTCTTTTTTTTTTTCATTATAGATATGTCTACCTGAATCCACATCACATTATAGATATGTCTACAAAAATCCGCAATCGAGTTACAAATTACCAAGTTAGAATCTCACCTGCTGACGCCGTGTCTGAAGTTATTGTAAGAAGAATACGTGAGAATCGGGCCGAAGCAGACGGAGAGAGAGAAGAAGCATTGGGTAATGGCAGCGTACCAAACAGTTGGATCCCAAAGTCTGTCCCAATCTGGGGTGATGAAGAACAGGATCCCATTGCCAGCTCCCTCGAGAGTCACCGCTCTGATTAACAGGCATATCATAACGATGTAGGGGAATATGGCAAGGAAATACGCTGCTTTCCCGGTGCTCTTCACACCACGGCACAACACGCCGAAGACCGTTGTCCAGCTAACGAAGAGACAAACAGTAAGCTGCCAGGAGGGTGTTCCAATCCCATCTTCAATCGAATCGTACTCGTTCAAAACGATCTTCCTGAGAGATAATTAAATTAATTTAGTCCTGACAATTTAAAAAATATAGAGAGATAAGGATAACTATATTGGCGAGGGTTATCATATATATCTTCAATTGAGCCAAATAATGCTGACATCTACCAATCCTCAAAATGACAGAAAATTAATCAGGCGTAATACAGATAATTCCATGACTTTAGTTTTTGCCAAACAAATGTTAGTCAAAAAAAGAAAAAAAACTTGCCAACATTATAGAGTTGTTAAAACTATATACCAAGCCAGCTAGTTTCATTGTAGATATGTTGTCCCGCTATAAATTATGCTCCCTGCTTAATTTAAAAAAGATTGAAAAACAAAGACAAGAAACAATATATACCCAATAGAAAAGGAGCCCATTTCTTCCTTCCTTTAAATTAGAATCTTCAAATTAAATTTATTCAATTTCAGATCATTGGGAGGATTGGTAGCATATATAATTATTAATACTAAATATTACACTACAACTATTTTATTAGTCATAGAACAAATTTAAATTAACTTTGCAAAATTAATCTATCAATTGCTTGAGGTGCAGTGAGAATTAATGTTAGAAGGAGAGTCATGAAAAAAAAGAAAGAAAAAATCTGTATCACCTGAAATACAATTCTGCAGAGCTGTAAAGAGTAATAGTATTGTCATTGCGAGACTTGTTTGTGTTGTCGTATTTCGAGAGGGTGTCGAAGCACTGATCCTGCCACTCTTCTCGACAATAGGACCAGGGTAGTTCAGCTTGGAAACTGACCACCAGATAATAGAGTGTCAAACCCATTAAGGCGCTGTAGCACGTGACAACGCAGAATGCTGCAATTGCTTGACCGTATCCCAAACCTAAAATTTAAAGAACATTAGGGAACTATAATATCTGATCTTTCACTGTTGATGCTAAAGTTAGGTACTTTGTCATCTTTGGATTAAGAAATGGATTACTCAAAACTCCAAATTCAAAAAAAAGTCTCGAGTTTATTAATTTCTAATCCATCCTGTAAAAAAATTTGTGAATTTTTATTTGCACATTTTGCGGTTAAATAAGATGCAAGAAGAAAGATGGAGGTCCAATACGGAAGATTTAATTCGAAAAGTTCACAAATTAGTCCCCTTAATTAGTTTCTTTCTTACAAATAAATTTCAAATTTTCGTTTCGGAGAAGGTGGCGCCATCTGTCGGTAACTTAGAGACTCTGATAAATTTAAAAAATATTTATCCCTGCGTTTCCCGGGTCAAACGAGGCATAAAATTAAAGCCGAGGATCTGATCAAGCAAATGCAAATCGCAAAACTTCACAAATTAATTCCCTAAATCGAGTATTTTTGCGAATGAATGTTTGTTCGATTTACGGACACTGAAATGTTAGCGCCGCGGACAAGGATGACAATGCTATGCGATAAAGACAGATATACATCGCGTATGAGGCAGACAGAGTAGCAACATGTAACAAGGACAGATAGTAATAGTATATGACAAGGACAGTATTAAAAATTAGTTCCACCCTTTTACCCCTACATGGCGCTAACATTTCACTGTCCATAAATCGTACAACCTTTCATTCGCAAAAATACATAATTTAGAGGATTAATTTGTGAACGTTTGCATTTGCTTAATTAGATCTTCGACAATCGAAAATGCAGAAATAAGTATCTTTAAAATCTATCAGCCCAGCCGAGTTACCGACAGATGGCGCCACATCCAAATTGACGGATTTCAACTTCAACTGTAGAAAAAATTTAATTAAGAGCATCTGTTTATGAATTTTGGGGATTTCATCCGTCCATTTGAATCCTTATCTTTCTTCCTTACGTATGGAAACATAAAAACTATTTTTCTACATGTATAATATGATATATATACGTACTTCGTCTGTGATATAAGTAAGTAATGTATTGATCCTATACAATGAATCTAAGTATAATTTAAATACCTATATTTAATTAATTTTTCTTTTTTTATGTAATACAAAGCACAGAGTCCCTAGAAACTTCTCTATTTATATAGGATTGCAGAAATTTGACACTGACGGAAAATTGTAGACACGTTTTGCAATAGTTCTGTTAGATAAGTTGCTCGTTGCGACAGTTGTTAATAACCAATTAATTAAGCAGGAATACGTGTCGAAAATCATTTGTAAAATTTGCTTAAAGTCTACTCTTCAATCAACTCCAATATGTACCTACGAATTTATCCTTGGAAATGAATCAAAATCGAATTTTATTCTCTAAACTGCATAAGATGTGCTATCGTTAATTAACGACTATGTCATTTAAAAAAATGAAGAAGTATGTAAGTATGTGCTCTATTGTGCAATATTGGATCAATTATAAATTACTGAGATAATTGTAAATTTGTAAACACGAGTATTAATATTATTAATAGACATCTTAAGTAATAATATTAT